TTAAGCCACCGGGTCTGGGACTTGAACTGCAGTCGACTACATGGGAGTCCAGCGACATAGCCATTATGCTAACTGCTGGTCCCAATCTTTTCTGTGTTCTATCATACACAGACCCTGAAACCGTGGGGGTCTGAACAGCCAGGGAGGAGAAATGTTTTATGCCAAGTTTTCTCAACATCATCACTTGACATTTTAGACTGGATGATTTTTCATTGGAGGTAGGTGTGTGTGTGTGTGGTAGGGGCCGTCCCTGGCATTGTCAGAGCAGTATCACTGGCCTCTACCTGCCAGGTGGCAATAGCATACTCAGCTATTTTGACCAAAAATGTCTCTAAGTACTCACATGTACCCTGAAGGGCAAAATTATCCCTAGTTGACAATCCCTAGTTGTACTACCCTCTTAAGCCTTTCTGTGAATGAGTAATATGAAATGCAATCCTTCAAGAATCTAGGTACATGTGAATTATAAGATATTTTGTATTTATAATCTTGATTTGAGAGTGAAAAAGACCTTTCTAAATATGATACCAACTCCAGAGAATGTTAAATTTGACAACTATTGCACGAAAAGATAATACATTAAAAGAATAAGTAAAAATATAAAGGACTGAACTAACTGGTGACGTGATGGTTAAGGCTCTGGACTCCCACATGGCCAACCACAGTTCTAGTCCTAGAAGACCCAGTAGCTTGAAAATCACACTGTGCACATTTGTGAGCATGCCCAAAATCCCAATAGAAGAGGAGAAGGATTGCAGTGTGACCCTTCCTCTTGGGGGGTGATTTCTCAGTTTTTCTTTCTCTATCTCTGGTATGCCCACATACCTAAAATAAATAAGTAAATATAAATGACCAGGGGGAAAAAGTTCAATCCCATATATTGAGTTACTTTTCATATGAAAACAACTTTTATGAATAAATGCAAGATAAATATTTGCAAGCATGTACCAGGGTAACTGATGAAGTAAGGACGATCATATGCATTGTCTTATGTCTTGAATTTTCTATACTCATCCACATTTGTCTCTTAAGAAGTAACTATAACTCTAATGCCTTAAAATGCTTTTGACCTTCAAAAAATTAGCTGATTTCTTGGGTACTCAACTGGAAAAAGCGCACAGTCTGTAGGAGTGTGCTATGATATGGTTAAGTATGCATACAAGCAATGAGTGAACACCATTTTTTCTTTCCTTTAAAACAGATGGGGGGGAGGAGGGGACCAACAGATGGCATGGCCTTATATCACTAGACTCCACATAGTTGACCACGGTTCAAGTCCCAGACCTGGCGGCTTAAAACTCACATCAGGCGCATGTGCATGCATGTCCAAAATTCGGACCTTTTGAAAGTTGATGCCATCATTGTTTTAAAAGCTGACTGTGCAATGACTGAATGTATAAAATAAATTAAAATAATAAAACGTTTTTTTATTTTAAAAAGCTGACTTCCTTATGGTATTTAAGTTTGTATTGATTTTACCTATAGTAGATATGATCTTTAAAGTCACCTGCTTTATGCCATACTGATTCATGGCTGAACTAGGAAGGCAAAACTTTAAACAGTTTGTTAGCTGCCTAAAATTGCTAATTTCACTCTTACAGTATGCTTATATTTTATTCAATTCTAAAGCATTTTACCTTAAACTAAGCAGTACCTATTGGTGGAATGAAACATAGTCACCCTAGTAAGCAATCAGTATCATGATTACTTGGGAACTAGGAAAAATCAGCACTGAACTGAGACTGGACCCCTAGCAAATACCAATAGTAAGATTCTAATCAGTAATGAGAGCTAGCTCACCTTATTTTAGTGAGCAGTGAAGAGAAAGTAAGAAAAATGTGTGCTTAATAGAAGCAGTAATTTAGGTTCATGACATACAACTGAAAACCAAGGAAAAACATGATTATAAGTTAACTTATGCAAGGGTTCTTCGGATTTCTCATTAAGTACAGATTGCTTTTGGAAACTTTAAAATATTAAAATGTTTTCATTCACTTAAATGTGAGATTTTGCTACCTACTTTTGCAATAATTTTGTTATAACATATCACATAGTAAAGCAAGTAAAATAATGGAGCTGCTTACCATCATATAGTGAGGTAATAGTGACTATTAAAAGATGAGGACACCTGGTAATTAGATTTGCTTCCAGCTAAACTGTCATCATCTAGACATACGCTATGCAAATGAAACATTCCCTACTGAGTTACTATGCATTTAATGCTACTGGTTTTATCTACCAAATGTCTACTCTGCAACAAAAAGAAACAGGTTTTTTAAACAAAAATTTTGCAGTTAAGTATAAAGGCAGTTAGGGCCAGCAAGTGGTGTAGTAGTTAAGGTGTTGGAATTCCACACAGTCTATCACAGTTTGTGTCCTAGACCTGGCGGCTTAAAAGTCATGTTGGGTGCAATGTCCGTTATTTTCATGTGATCATTGCTCCCCCCCAGGATTCCCCTTTTGAGGGAGGGACTTTTAAACGTGAACTATCCCTTCTAGAGGAATACCTAATGGCAGCCCCTAAAGTACATTTCATGACCAAATTTGATTATCCTAATGTAGACAAGTTGGGAAGAGTATGTTTAGAGATTTTGAAAGATAAGCGGTTCCCAGCACAGCAATCCTGTCAATCCAGGCTTTGTTAAGTGCTCCCGATTCAGATGACCCGGTAGCAAAGGATGTAGCGGAGCAGTGGGAGACCAACGAAGCCCACGCCAAAGAAACAGCTAGAGCGTGGGCAAGGCTATATGCCGTGAATAATATTAAATTGATCCGACCAAGTGTGCATCACTTCTCCTGTACTGCCGAGACTTCTTCCTTTTTTTGTTTGCTTTTAAAGGACAGAGTCTAAGAAACGTGAGAGAATAAAAGCCCAGGCATCTTCACCCTTTCTCTTCTCTGTCTCTCATATTGGCAAGTGCATGTGACCTCCAGCAAAACTAAAAAAAAAATTAATCCATATCATAAACACAAAAATTATATTGTTTTCAATAACACTCGTAACAAAAAGATCCTGAACATCACTGGTTAATGCAAATAAGATATCTTCAGGTTTTTTAAAAAACTAGAAATTACTTGTTTTAATCTATTTTTTCCATGAGAGAAAGAGACAGTCACCCCCAACATAGTCTTCAAGCCACGGTCTACCCCCAGTCTCAACCGGCCTGGATCACAGGCCGTGTGCCCCGTGTGCTCAGGGAGATCAGGATGCAAACTCAACACCTTCCAGTTGTGTTACAGCATGACTATAGACATTCTTTTATTTTTTAAAAGAATTATTTAATTGTATTCAATTTTTAGAATTATTTTATTCAACTTTATTTATTTTACTTATTTCTTTTAATTTGACCAGATAAGGACAGAGTGAGAGAGAGAGAGAGAAGTGAGAAATGAGAGAGCAAACTGCCGGGTCCAGGACTCGAACCACAGTCGGCCATGTGGGAGTGTCCAACACCTTAAACACCTTACCCACAACGCCACCTGCTGGTCCCCCCAGTGATTTTAAAGCCGCCAGGTCCAGGACTCAAACTGCCCAGCCGACTATGTAGATCCATCGCATTAACCTCAGTGCCTCCTGTTTGTTCTTTACTCATATTTTTTTTTTTTTTTTGAGAGATTTTCACTATAGGGCATGTGCACTCGCCAGACAGACAGAGAGAGACATAGAGACAGAAAGCGAGAAATCACTCCCCAGGGGGGGATGGCCACGCCGCCATCCCTTCTCCTCCATCCTCCTTTCGGGATCCTGGGCACTCACACACACATGCCCGGCGTGAGTTTTAAGCCACTGGGTCCGGGACACGAACCGCGGTCGACTACGTGGGAGTCCAGCAACATAGCCATTACGCTAACTGCCGGTTCCCTTTACTCATATTTCTCAGTAATGAAGTCACATTTTGATTTGGTTGTTTCTGTTTACTGTTTAGCAAAGATTTTTTTTTTAGCATAGATAATTTTAAGCAAAGGATATACTGGGTTATTGGAAAAGTCATGATGCATT